TTAATATCATGTACTCATAATGAACAACTTGCCCTAACTTAGTCTGAACCAAATCTGATGAGACAAGACAGCGAGGGCTTAAAACTGAATACACTCACACATGACTGTTAAAGTAAAACAGGAAATTCAAGACAGACATGGAAACGCAGACATGACACTGAGACATGACTGACTGGAAAAAACACACAGAACACAGGAAAGGCAAGGTAAGAAGAACCAAGGGCTCTCCAGAGCCGCCAGCGGAAGCATCAGGTGGTGAAGCTGCAGGCGATGGCTGGACCGGCTCTCCACAGCCTCCAACAACATTTCCATGAGGACTATGATATTTGCCACAGTGTGGCATCCAAGTATCAGAGTGGATATTTCTTGTGAGGGGCAATGTGGGCAGGAATTTTCAGCAAGGACATTGACAGCTAAAGCCAAATAAGGGAGCCTTCTATCTAAATCATTACTCTTGGTGCACTGTGTACTTTGCAATCTGTATGCTCTCTAAAAAAATGTCCTCTGGGAAAATCTTTACTGTCAGCGAGGTTTTGGCACAACTCTTTGACAGTCAAAGTGACACAGAGGAGAATGTGTCAGAGACAGAGGGTTGTGTGTTCAGAAGGACCCTGATTTTGATTCATTCTCATGTGATAAGAATAACAGTGGTGGCCCTGCTGTTGCCTCTCAAGCACCAGCAGGCACAGGTCCTTTCAGAATGGAAAGATAACATGGTCCCTTGCCCAACTCCAACAACAGGGTAGACTTAGTGCTGCTAATATTGTGAAAATGGTTCCTGGCCCCACCAGATACACAGTCAAGCCAATATTTGTGTACTAAAACCAACTATGGTCAGTTGACAGCTTATCATTTCTTTAATTTTTCCACTCAATAACTTTTTTTTTTAGCATTCTGCAGTGTCGAGGGACCCTGAGCTAGTGCATGAATGTGAGAAATACTTTAAAGTTTTTTAAAGTTTTAAATTGTGTAACAAAAGATATGCAAATGCCAATTTAATAATTTTTTAGGTATTATTAAATAGCACAAGCTACAATAGTAGGAATATACTTGTTTGTTATTCAGCAGAACAAAGTCCAGGATGTTTACTGATATACTTTTTTGCATTTGAAAATCACAGTTGGACTGAGTTTAACTGCATTACAAGAAGTGCTGTTCATTTTTCTGAGCTATACTTATCGTGTTTATAGTGTTTAAGTGTTCTACTACAAATCTCAAGTTCAAGGATGATAAAACATAAGCAAAATTGAAACTAGTAAGCTACCACAAAATATATTTTTTAAATTTAGTTAAATTTGAAATCTTTTTCAGTGGTTAAACAATTAGTATTTCTCACTCAGAAAAAAATAAGTCATCTCTGGTCCTTTGTACTCACAATGATTAAGTTGTCCTAACTTAGTCATCTTAAGTAAGTGTTCTTAGTTTTTTTTTTTTTTCTAGGCAACACGTTTGCATATGTTTTGGGGTTTTTTTTAGCTCAGAGAACTAGTTAGATTTTACAGTGCAGATGTATGTGAAATTTAAGAGTACACTCATGAGTATTAAGCATTTAAATGCACAGACCAGTTTGATTCAATGCTTAAGATTTTAATGATGAAGAAGATGAGAAACAACAATTCATTCTGGGAAACAAAGTTTTGCTAAAAGCATTCTTTCATGTACACATGCAATTTGCTCCTGTTAAAAGAGCTCCTCCAGTTTATGTCACGTGTCGCTTCATTCCTTATGCAGCATTACAGTAAAAGAAAAGAAGTAAATCAAATCAGAACCAGATTCTTATTGTGATATATTAGAGTATTTGCTTTGTCGTCAGGTGGGCCACACCTTCATGACAGCCCAGGAATCATCAGACGGCCTTGACACAAATAAATGGGAATCGGCTGTCACATGTCCCATCATTCCAACACTTGCTCCCTGTAAGTAGATAAAATCAGAATGAACTGAAATCATAATCACATGGAGAAATGATTACTAATCTAAATATTTTGTTCTGTATAACAGTAGCACCTGATGCATACATGTGTTTACTGCTGCATCAAAACACTATGTAAATATTCAATATGATAAAAAATTGAACTGCTGTCTTTGTTAAAAATAAATGACACTACTTGTTTTACATTTCTGTCACACATTACTGTTTGTCACATTAAATGCATAAAAATTATTTGGGGAATTGTGGGTATTGTTTCCTTTTTTCTTTAACATTTACAGTGCTCATACATTGTACTTTTAGGGATTTCACAGAAGGTTTACCTGAAAAATTCACCAGCAAGCAATGCTCGTTTCCCCTATAGTTGTTAGGTTCTCCCTGACACCACTGCGTAAATGTGAAAGAGGTTCCATCGATCCAAAACCAGTAACCCTCCTAGAAAACAGAAAAAGCAGACAAGAATACACTTAAAATTAAGCTACAGTTCCAAGTTCTAAATGTGCAGTTATAGACAATACTATCAAGAATGAATTTAAAAGTCTTGAAAAATCAGATCCCATCTGATCTTAAAGACCTCCTTATCTACTGCAGATGTGTGCTAATCCCTGAGCCTGGTTCTGCCTCAGGTTTCTTTCTGTTAAAAAATGTTTTTCTTCCCCTCTGTCACCAACTGCTTGCTAATGGGGAAGGGTCATCTGAATAATGATAAGTGAAATTATACCTGTTGACCATCTGAGCCACCAATCCATGTTAGTCCACTTTCATGAGTGGCACTAGATATGACGC